AGGAAGCATCCCAGCTGATCCCAGTGTCCTGTGGGCCTTCTCGCTCAAGCCCTTCTCGGTTCTTCTTGCTCTCCTTCTGGGCTTTCTTCCTCAGCAGAGCAGCACTGCCTTGGCTTTCTTCACTGCCTCGCCAGACTGAGTTCCAAGACTGTGCCAGTCCTACAAGAATCAAGGCAGAAACGGTCAGGGAACCTTCACAGGTAACAAGTGGCTGACGGCTTGCTTGGGAAGCTCAAGTCACCGCCCGGGCAGCTTTGGCTGCCAGCACTGGAAACCGCCTTCCTGCCATCAGGGAACGCCAGAAACTCCACCTCTATCTCCTTCCCCAAAGTCCCATACGAACTGGAACCCAAAGCCATCTCCTGCAAGGCAGCGCCTGCACAGGGCTTGGACACTGCCTGGCAGCACACACAGCACAGCAGCAGCAGCAGCAGATGAGCTTGCACCCCAAGGCTCCTGGCGCGCATCAGGAACACGCGCACACGGAAGGAAGGGCAGGACAAACGACGGCACTCTCAACAGTGCCGGGGCACAGCACCATAGGATGTTCGATTGCATCAGATTGCATCGATTGCTGCAGATTGTTCTCTCCCTGCCCATTGCCCGTGCCTTTCTATCAGCCTCAGAGAGCACGACTTACTGGCTTATGGCACCTGGAAACCGGCACGATTACAGCCAGTGCACAGAGCAGCTGCAAAGCGGCTCCACAGAAGAGACCGTGGCGCAGCACGTTCTCCGCCAGCGTGGGCTCGGGGATCTCAGCTGGGAGAAATGCCCTTCAGCACCACACAGCAGGCAGCCCGCTGCTCTCCTGCTCTCAAGGAGGCTGCTTTCTACAAGAGGGGAGAAGGAGTCGTTATTCTCTCGCGCACACTGCTGTGACAGGCGCACTTAGAGCTGTTCTGAGCATCTCCTTGCTCTACTGACCCAATGACAAACAAGGACACGAAACTTGCAGCTGCGTCATCTTTTACCACCTGCCGAGGAAATGATTCCTCAAACTTGAGCATTGCTCCTCTTGCAGGCGAGGGGAGCAGGAGCTGAAAAGGACAGGTGGGCATAAAAGAAGGGCAAAGCTTAACAGAAAGCAGACCTGCTGCAGACAGTGCCACCAACTGTGTTTGAACAGCAGTGCCTTAGCGCACGCTCACAGTAAGGCACACCTACCTTGCAAGGGCCGCTCAGGAAGGTTGTGACACAGGCACCCGTTGCTCGATTGCTCCCCTGAGCCCCAACTCCATTTCTCAGCCACTCACATGCCTCGATGTTCTGCAACAGAAAAGTCACAAGACGGAAATTCAATTCATCGCAGACGTCCTCAAACCTCCCTTGTCAGGGAAGTCGCACTCATTTCTCTGCATGAGAACTCGGGGAGGGCTTACCGAGTGAGCAGCATTTACTGCCACTTGGGAGCAGCAACCTATGGCTAACTCTAACCTCCTAACAGGAACCTATGGCTAACTCTAACCTCCTAACAGGAACCTATGCCTAACTCTAACCTCCTAACAGGAACCTATGCCTAACGCTAAAACTGAACTGAACACTAAAACTAAGCTAATACTAAAATCAACAACAAAGCCCAGAAGTGGCACCTAACTCCTACAGGGGGAAGATGGAACCGGGGGCCCGCAGAACCGCAGAGGAGCAACAAGGTGGAGGAGGAGCAGATGTCAGCAATGCCACCCAGCTAATGCCGGGGGCGGGGGCCGCACAGAGGGTAAGGAGCCGAGCGCCCGGACCAGCAATGGCGGAGCTGTGAGCGTGCCAACACAGGGCCTGGCACGGTGGTGTGGTGCCAGGCCAGCTGTGCCACAGGCGGATCCACCTCCATGGGCTCATCCAGAGGTGGATCCACCTCCATGGG